TCACCATTCTTATTTTTTTTCAAGAGGAAAGCAGATGTCTATTCTCATTTTGTGTTTGGTCATTCTATTGAATTACATCTATAAGACCAATCTCCTCGTGGTTTAAGGAGTGGAAATATGTGTGCGCCGGGCTATGGAATTAAAAGTTACCGAATACTATGCTTACACAATGACACAACTTCGTTAGGTAATCAAAGTCATAGATGACACAGGCGTGCATTTGAACAAATCGACCCTTTTGCACAGTGTGTGCTTAGTACAGTTCAGTGTATTATTCTAGAATTTTCCAGCATTTCTTCAGTAAGGCATCAAAGAAACGAAAATTTCTCTCATTTGAAATCAAACTACTTTTGATTGAGGGAGTTGAAAAGGGGCAAAAAAGCAGTCAATTCATGGTAGCCTACCACTTATTACTTCCTTTTATATAAATTCAAAACAATACTAGTTCTGAGCATATAATTATCTACGTAAAAACCTCATGTTTGCTTTAACGAACACTAAGATTCAACTAAACTGAAGGTCAGGCCCAACGAATTCGTTGAATACAAGTTCCACTGTACAATTTCTGGAAAGCTAAGCCCCAGGTAGTGTCCTTGGGAAAAAACACTGTATGATTTTTCTCATATTCCAACTGACTTAACATGGATATTATCATCTATGAAGGGGATAAACCAGTGACAGACCAATGAATTATTCCATGCTTAACCCTTTACCATCTATACAGCTACAAGTAAAGAAAATAGGAACGAGTCAAGGGTCTGTGAGTCATGTCAATAGTTCCTTCATCACAAATATCAAATTTGAGTTTTACCCTTTCTGAAAATGCTTCATCCTCAAGATACAGAGAGAATGTACTACTTCAAAATTATAATCCTGAAGGAGCAAGAGGGCTGAAATTGAAGCATTTTGATTTAGAAACCTTACCTCATTTTGCCACAGAGATACCACGCCAAATCCTCCTTGTCCAAGAACACGAAGCTGTACCCAGTTAGCATTTTGTTCAGACTCAGCCATCTCGCAAGACTCTTTCACTGAAAAGTCAGTACAAATTATTCAAATTTATATAAAACCCTGGGATGCATTAAGAATTTAGTATGGGTCCCCATGCCCAACCTAGCTCCTCCCCAGGTTGTGGATAGGAAGGGAATACTAAGTAGTCACAAACCAAATGGGAGGTGGTGACGAAGAGTAGAGAAGACCCCTAGTGGTAGTACAGATGTTTCCATAATTACCTCAAATGCTCAAAAAAGGGACATCTTAGCCACAGGTGGGGCCACAAATCCTACCAAATCCCTATCGCTTTGTTGGTAGTCAGTGGATGATAAAGGCTTGCAGAGTAAACTGTAATTAAACGGGCTGTAGGCAAATGGAGTCGACATTAAATGGATCTGAACTATAGGATTTATTTACCATTATAATCCTGCTATGGCCGAAATCCTGTTTTAACCGAGACTGTTAAAAGTGGGGCCCACAACAAACACAGTGCCCTGTTTCTTAATTAGAAAGTTTCTAGGAGGAGACTGTAACTGCGCCCCATCATGACGATCAAACCATACCAGGATGTTGTGCCTTAGGTCGAGAAGTCCTAAAATTAAAAAGCAGAGCTCTTTGATTTGGTTTGCCAAAAAAATGTGCCCTTTGTAGTAGAAGGAGCTGGTAAGCCTTCGAAGAATCCAGAGGCAAAAATCAGGAGGACAAAGCCCATAATTTTTCAGTTTGGAATTTCTTTCATTTAGACGGTGGATTCGGGTAATAAGGTAAGTTTCAGATTTCCCTGTTATTATTTTACAGTTTACTGACACAGTGGAATATGACTATAGTGGCACCAGCGGGACCTTACGAGAATCCCCTTTTTTTTTCCTTATGTAAACTCAATTACTTATGCTTGGATAAAGCGGGGCAAAGAAAGTCCTGGACTCCGATACAGCGGGAGAGATCGAGCGAGCTCTAGCTGGGGGTGGAGGGTGGAGGGGCTGTATGAGGGCTCCAAACAGGCAGTCAGCGGTGCGGCGTTGTGATTGGCTAGTCCAGTGATGAGTGTGTGTGTGGGGGGTTATGGCAGTAGGCCAAGAGAGAGAGAAATGGCGCGGAGAGATGTGTTACGTGAACCACTCCAAAAGTGATGTACATCTACACAGTAGAGTATAAATGTAGTGGCACCCGCTGCAGTGGGACCTTACCCGAATCCGTATGCAAACTCAATTACCTGGACTCGGGTTTAACGGGGCAAGGAAAGGCCCGAACCTGGATACAGCGGGAGAGATTGAGCGAGCTCTAGCTGTGAGGAAGGGGGTTGAGGGGTTGGGGTGGGTCAGGCAGTCAGCAGTGCGGCGCAGGGTTGGGTTGATTTAAATCAGATGATTTTTTAAATTTAAATCAACTTGATTTTTAACAGTGATTTAAATCACTTTTTTTTAAATTTATTTTTATTCAGTTTTTACACATTTCAACATTCAGAATTCCTTTCCTTGGTTTCATAGAACAGATATAAGGTTTAGTAGACTAATATAATCATGCTTAAAAGTCTGCTTTCCCCCCTTTCACTGTAAAATAATACAGTATTCAATTTTTTCCCCCCATAATTGAAATCAGAGCTGGGTTGATTTAAACCAGTTGATTTTTTTATTTTAATCAACTTGATTTTTAAAATAAAAATCACTGATTTAAATCACTTTTCAAAAAAATGTATTCAGTTTTTACATATATTTAAACATTCAGAATTTCTTTCCTTGGTTTTATTAACAGATATATACGGTTTAGTAGACTAATATATAATCATGCTTAAAAGTCTGCTTTCACCCCTGTCACTGTAAAATAATACAGTTCTCAATGTACTTTTTTTTCATAATTGAAAACGAGGGTTGGGTTGATTTAAATCAGTTGATTTTGAAAAAATTTTTAATCAACTTGATTTAAAAAATAAAACTCAGTGATTTAAATCACTTTTTAAAAAATGTATTCTGTTTTTACATCTTTAAACATTCAGAATTCCTTTCCCTGGTTTTATAA